GGACCACCGGGCCCGTGACAACCATCATGGTTGTCACCCCCTGAAGGCGGCCCAGACCACAGCTGTGCTCCTCTAGACCAAACCCAGAAGCAGCCTCTCTGTGTGGTTGTCGAATATGCAAAACTATGTGAATTCATATTTCTAGAGAGAAGCCTCTGGAGGGTAATTTCTAGTGTTGAGGTATAGCTAATAGAGCCACCACTTTTATCTGAGCATGATTTAAAACTTATTGTACCTCCATTATTTTACTACGGTTGTGTGAAAGCATGAGTGCAATGGTTATAGAGAAATAATGCATATAATGTGTCAGTGCATTTTTGTTGTGTGAGAAAACATAAGGCAATGTTAGTGTATTTATATAATGTAAAAAAAAAATAACCTCAGTTGTCAGTGTCCCTTTAAGTGCCACTAGTATACATTAGTAATGATTCAGCAGACAACACAGCCTTTATCAAGCTTACCCTCTGTGGGGTTTTTGGTCATTTATATTCGGAGTACGATGTGTCAGTGCATTTCTATAGTGCGAGAAAGCATGGATCCAGCTGACAGTTAAAGCGAGCATTTAGTGATTTCATCATCACTGATTTCACAAATGATTGCTGGGATGTTTAGCAGTCATTACTAACAGAAACAAATTATGCATTTGATTTTGGGATGAAAATGATGTAATTTGTGCGTATTGATTTGAACTATTGATATGCTGTGTTTACATGTAAAGAGATCAACTAGATTAAAATGTTCCGCAGTATGTCTTTCTGGTAGGGAAAGGGTTTTATGGGCTTTGTTTTGTGTTGTTCTCCTCCCTGCCCTGTAAGGTATGAAGTTACATCTACAGTTCCCAATTCTATTTTATTTTTATTTTATGTCAAAGGAAAATAGATTGTTTTTGTTTACACTGACAGTACATAGGGCAATACCTTATCCTATGTGGAACTACAACATTGTTTGTTTTGTTAAAGGATGATCTATGAGTTGAATATGGAAATCAAAATGAGGCCAACAACTTTGAATAATTAAACTTTATTGGACAAACAAATAAAGTGCTTGGATGGAAAAGAAAATCATTGATTGTTTATTTGTTGCTCAGTAGGTGTTAGAATGATAATGTACACCATGAGAATTAGAGAGCCGAGTTCCTTCTTCTTCAGCAAATAATCATTTGGGGATTCGTGAAGGGCAGTCAAGCATATGTGACTGGGATGATTAGAGACGCAGCCACCAACATAGTTTGCAAATAAACAGAGCAATTAATTGTCCAGTCATTGAAGCAGCCGTGTCCGCCTTATTATCTCAGTTGTGGTCTGCATTACAAAACCACATGTTCTCTGCTAAAATCAACCTCACACAACATGTTGCCTTAACATTCAAAATGAAGAGTATTTAAAAAGCTTTTTTTTCCCCATGAGCTTCTCACATTCAATCTGCCTGACACTCCCTATGGTATCTTTTCCTAACATCTCAGAGGGATATATTAAACCCGTCAGGAACTAGCAAAGGAATGTTCCGTTCACATTTATAAACTTTTACAGAATATTAAAAAAACTCTCAACCTTTGTAAAGATCTAAAATGTGCTTACTTTTTAATTTCTCTTTCTATGAGGTGTCAACAACTCCTGTGGCACTGTACTATAGAACAGGGTTATTATAAACATGATGATTTACAGTGAATTATTAAACACAGATTGAAATAACATACACGTAGATACATAGGCAGTTGAGGACAGTGTGGGCCATACAGTGTAGCCATTGATTGGGCAGAGACAAAAGGCAAGAGGCAGGACATTGCTAGGTTCTAAGAGTTGGAATCTGGGTCGAATTCAAAAATCAATGTATTCTGGTCGTTGGTCCTTCTATGATTCCACTATTAGAAGGTTATGTATTTTGATACTCTTAAACTCCACCCCCTTTACACTTATGAAGACATACAGGGTTATTCACTAAGTGAGAATTCAAGGTGAGTTTCACATTTTAGGTTAAAGCTGACGCTCTGAAAGTATAGCTGATTTAGAGATTTTTTCCAGTATGGCTATTTTGACCATAAATGTGAAATTGTTAGATTTTGTTTCTCTGAATTAAACAGAAAACAAACTGCAAACTGTATGATCATTTGGAACAATTTGACACTTCACTTTAATAGCTTCTCCAGGATCTGCCTTTTCTTAAAACCAAAATCAAATCAAAATACTAATACTCTCTCTAGTAAAGTCCCATGTTATACCTAAAGGAACACTATAGCATTAGCAATACAAAGCTTTACAAGGGTTAAAAAGGTAATATTTACTTACCTTACATCCCCCGATGCGTTGGTCCCTGTGTTGCTCCAATTCAATATTTCCTCAGAGGAAATAAGTAATAATATTATTAAAACGAATCTAATGCACAAGAGTAAATAGTGATCTATTGCATGTTTTCACAGAGAAATTGCAAAGAGAAAGAGAATGATTTAGTTACATTTATTGAATGTTGGACACGTGAACATTGAATTTTCAGCTTATTTGGAATTAAACTAAAACTTCGACCTAATACATTTTTTTTTTACTGTTTTAGGGTCAAGCACTCGAACAGGCTGCTTTATTTTCACAACAAATCCGTCCTTCATCCCAGCCTTATCCAGGGATACAGCAAGCACAGGTAGCTGCAATGTCCATGCAAAGTTTTCCTGAATTGTTAATGAATACCTAGAATGTTAGGATACGCATTCTGTCCACTCTTTCATTTCTACAGTCTAAGGGGCAATGTACGGTTGTGGCACTGATACGAACATAATTTAATAAAGATACGGTATTGCAGTATAAGCTTACTCCTATGGATCAATAACATGCAAATAGCATTGTGCATTATGTATCCTATGGGTATAATCATAAGCGAAGAATGTGCAAAGCATACAACTGCCCCAATAAATCACCAGACACATGATGGAGTGCATGTTTTCATATTTAGAATAAACATATTCATTTCAGCTTTTTGATCCATAAACACATGAATGAAATAAATGGTGAATAAGAAAGCTCAAAGTGCATTATGCTGCTTTTCACCCATAACATTTTTGGATGTATCGATAAAGCATGCAAAACAGGAAAAGCACATTCATTGGGTCAGGGGCGTACCTAGAGCATTTGGCACCCGGGGCGGATCCTGTGCTTGGCACCCCCCCCCCAAAAAAAAAGAAGAAAACTTTAAAAAATGTTAAAGGTTTTCTTTCTTTTTTTTTACAAGTAAAGTTTGCCGCCCCCCCCATGTTACATCACAATGCCCCACCCATATGATTTGCCATGTTAACTAACGCCAGTGCTGCAGTGCCGCCGTGTTTACATTAAAAGGCCTGCAGGGACAGGCTATAGACACCAGAACCACTACATTAAGCTGAAGTGGTTCTGGGACTATAGTGTTTCTTTAATGTGAGGTAAATTAGAGCTTAGTGCCACGAATAATATACTAGATTGCCTACTTACAACCAGATGAGGGATGATGATGGGCTCTAGCTGCAGTCTGGCTCCACTGGTCTGGTGCAGAACAGGCTCTCTGGAGGCGGTTTGTAACTGTGGTCACAAAAATCAATGTTCTGGGAGAACAGGAAGCAGCTCCATTTTTTGGGGGTCCTTTACACAGCTCAAGGTCTGGGTCCCAGGGTCCACCTTCATGTTCCACCAATGAGTTTGTTCACAGGGGGTGGAGTGTGTAAGGGATGTCCTGATATGTGTGTAAGGAATGCATTGTGTGAAATTGTGTGTGTATGTGTAAGGGCTGCAAGGTGTGTTTCTGTGTATGTATGGGATGCATTGAATGTGTGTAAGGGGTGCATTGAGTGTGTGTAATGAATGCATTGTGTGTTTCTGTGTGTGTAAGGGATGCATTGTGTGTAACGGTTGCATTGCTTGTGTATGTGTGTCTGTGTGTGTAATGCATTGTGTGTTTTTCTGTGTGCAAGGGGTGCATTGTGTGTATGTGATGAATGTCAATCTCTCCTCCCGCTCCAATTTCCTTCTCCTCCTCCCAATTTCTCTTTCTCACCCCCCTCCTAATTTCTCTCCCCCCCTAATTTCTCTTTCCCCCCTCCTAATATCTCTCCCCCCCTAATTTCAATTTCTCTCCCCCCCCTACTAATTTCTCTCTCACCCCCCCTCCTAATTTCTCTCCCCCCCTAATATCTCTTCCCCCTCCTAATATCTCTTCCCCCCCTCTAATTTCAATTTCTCTCCCCTCCTAATTTCTCTTTCTCACCCCCTCCTAATTTCTCTCCTAATTTCTCTTTCCCCCTAATTCTCTTCCCCCTCCTAATTTCTCTTTCCCCTCCTAATTTCTTTCTCACCCCTTCTCTCTCACCCTCTTTCTCACCCCTCCTTTCTCACCCCCTCCTTTCTCTTTCTCACCCCTTCTCTCTCTTTCACCCCCTTTCTCTTTCTCACCCCTTCTCTCTCTTTCTCTCCCCCCCTCCTTTCTCCTCTTTCTCCCCTCACCTTTGCTGTGGCGAGCCAGTGGTCGCGGGTACAGGGAGCATTGTCTCCTGTACCCGGCCGGACTAACAGGAAGTGCACAATGAGTGTGCACTTCCTGTTAGTCCGGCCGGGTACAGGAGACAGCTGCTCTCTGTACCCGCGGACTATCAATGCTGCAGGGCTCGGCCACGCTACAGCAAAGGAAGCTGACAGGAGGGAGCGCTGAGCGCTGAGCGCTCCCTCCTGTCAGCCTCTCCTCAGGTTGCGCCCGGGCGGTGCGGTCCGCCCTCATGGACGCACTGCCCGGGCAAAGCTGCAGCCGCCTGAGGCTCTGTACAGAGTGCTCGGGCGGCTGCAGCATGGGGGGGGCCGGCGGGGCTGGTCATGGCACCCCCCACCCTGGTGGCACCCGGGGCGGACCGCCCCCTCCGCCCCCCCCTTAGTACGCTACTGCATTGGGTTATATGTAGTGATGTCCCGAACTGTTCGCCACGAACGGTTCGCCACGAACGGTTCGCCACGGACTCATCATTGAGTAAACTTTGACCCTGTACCTCACAGTCAGCAGACACATTCCAGCCAATCAGCAGAAGACCCTCCCTCCCAGACCCTCCCACCTCCTGGACAGCATCCATTGTGAAGCTGCATTCTTAGTGAACTGTCCAGGAGGTGGGAGGGTCTGGGAGGGAGGGTCTGGGAGGGAGGGTCTGATGCTGATTGACTGGAATGTGTCTGCTGACTGTGAGGTACAGGGTCAAAGTTTACTCAATGATGAGTCCGCGGCGAACAGTTCGGGACATCACTAGTTATATGCCATAATATCATAGTGGCTCTGCATATGAAAGTCAAGTATCCAAACACAATGGTGTTTGATGATATTTTTACAAAGACAATTTAGTTTTTATTTTATGTAAATATACATTTTTACTTAGATTATTAAGTCATCATGATGCACGTTAAACATTAGGGTCAAGTTGATTCAGGTTTAGTTTAAAGTAACAACATAGTAAAGAATGAGTAGATGTCAGGACCATTGGTCCCCTTGGGGAGCAGAGAAATAGTAAAACCAGATGAGAGAGACTGGGCAAGGGGAAGTTGGCTGGGCTCAGGAATGAGTTTGAACTGTTAATTTGATGGAACAAGGAAGTCTATGTTATTAATTGGGTTCTAAGAGTAATAATATGTGAAACTGTTAAAATCTATAGGAAGGTGGAGTGAGGTAGGGGGTTATGGATTATGTATAAGTGAAGATGTTGGTTGGAGTATAGTTGAGGAGGACTAAGTAGCGTAGGCCAGTGCAATGTTGTAGATTAATGTGAATAGAAGAAGAAGGGTTCTGAAACTTTGGTGTATAGGAAATAATGGAAGAGCTTTGCTATTCAAATGTGACTTGAGGTAGCAGAAGCTCGCCGAGAAGAACACAGAAACATGTTAAGTTTTTTGTAACATGTTGGAATGTTAAAGAGGTGTAAACAACAGGTAGAGATAATAAATAGTGTGCTTTTAAAGGGTTACCCTTCAAAAACAACTTGTTTTAATTGTCAAACATCTGTCAAGTAACACAAAAATGTCACTGTGCTCATAAGGGCAGCATCATAATGCTGTCATTTAAATGTTGCTGGGCAATGGTTAAAGTCACTAGATGGTGTTAGGACGTATCTGGAATTCGCACTGTATTAATGCAAATATATAGTGTAAAAGGAGGTAGTTCTCTGCACACAGACTCAAATGTTTACAGTTTCAAAAATCTAAATGCCGGCTGCCAGACAGGTAGTTACAAAACAAAAGTAATAGAATGTAATGGTCTGCACTATGTGTTTATTAAAGATGCTATGAGCTATGAGTGAGCCTCTAACACAGGTCAAATTAAAAAAAATTATGTGGTTTTATATGTAGAATTGACAAAGAAAATGTCAATTTTAAGCCACCATAGCCAATTTGGAATCTTTTTCTTTTGCCTAAAGTTTACAATTATATTCGCTAAATTCTAGTTTAAAAAATGCTTAGAGTCATTGTCTACAGGGTTTATGCCAGCCTACGTGAACCATCATTCTGTGAAGTATGAACTCTGCGTCTCTGTGATGTGAAGGCCGCATTTGTTGTTAATTTTCCTACTGTTTTTAGAACATATTTGTATCCATTATAGAAACTCGCCTGCTCTTATTAGCTCTTGGGATATGTTTGTATGTGTGACCAGTGTCCTTAAGGTAGAATACACTGAATCTTATAGCAAATCCAATCCATAAATCCAACCCATATCTTTATATTTTGTTAATTTCAGCCTATTCCTCATGGGTATACAATGTACAGTACTCAGGTTCCAATTCAGCAACATCAAGGTGGGAGTGTACTCCTTTCACCAAACTACAACCCTAGAACCAATCAACCAGCTCATCCCAACTCTGCCCTAATAGAAAGGCTGCGACAGATGCAGCAACAGCCAAGTGGCTACATTCAGCAGCAGGGAGCTACCTTCATACAACCCTTGGCAAGTAACCAACGGTAAGCCCTTAAGAGGAAATTGTAAGATGTAAGTAAAAATAGCATCACAGCCGACTCAAAGGGCATTAGAAGTTTATTAAATATGTCTGCCATAAATAGACAGGATCATGTAAATCACAGCATCCAATATTAATTAATTAATTAATTAATAATTACTGCCTTTTTAAGCAATGCCTTGTGAGAATAGTGTAACTGGTTGAAGAAAGTGGCAAAAATATTCTTTGTCATCTGTACTTTATAGGTTTTACTAGTTTGCTAGAATGTTTATTATTGTATTATGTTTGGTATTCTTGCTCAACGTAATCTAAAAGTGATGAATCAAGAAACATATAATTCATAACCAGTGTGTGTATTTCATGTTACAGTATATGAACTTATACACACAACATGGCATTAGATGTTCGATAAGGGTGGCTAAATTAAAGATACCATTTCATAGACATTTTGTTTGTTTGTGCCGTCGTATTGCTCTCTAAAACTGCCTATATCACGTGCTGGTAAGATTGTATATACTCTGCATTTATTTACTTAAAAATGATACAAAATTTCTTAGCAGTCCAGAGTACTACTACTATATAGAACAATAGTAGATACAGCAAATATCTACAAATAAAAAAAAAATGCAAAAAAGGGTAACATTGCTTCACCAGTAATGTCTCCATGGATATTTTGGTGGGCAAGATGATCCCAGTCCTCTGTGGACCACAGACAACTCTAGACTAATAACAAAAAAAAAAAAAAATACCAACAGGGTTTGGCGGTATTGTAAAAAGGTTGTGCATTGCTTTATTCGAAAGAACAAGATAGTTAAAGCAATATAAAAAAATTACAAGGTCCAACACGTTTCTTCCTGCTCAAAGGACTTCTTCGGGGAATAATCGGTTATACAACAAGCAGAATTAAATACTGCAATACAAACATGCCATTTAAGGGGCATTTCGAACATTCAACTCATTAGAGTCTGACAAAACTTTTCCAAAACACGATTTCAAGATCCACACACAATATATTAGAAATACACTTATAAAAAGAGGATATATTAAAATATCCTGGATACAGGGGTTAAAATTGTGACTAAAGTCAATAAAGGTCAATTATTAAATAGTGAAAAAACTAAAAAGAATTTCAATATGCTTTTTTTTACCAAATAAAATATTCTGTACAAATATTCATATAAAATATTTGCTTCTTTTGCCAAGTGATCCGATCTTGGACTGCATATTTCCCTCAAAAAATAAATATATATATAAATATTTATGTTTATGAACATAACAAAGCATTATATTATAAAAATGTTTATGAACATAACAAAGCATTATATATATATATATATATATACATACATATATATTTGTATGTATGTGTATATATATATATATATATATATATATATATATATATATATTTATATATATAATGCTTTGTTATGTTCATAAACATAAAATATGTACTACTAAACACAGATGGCAATCGGTTTAATGTTGCAGGTTAGACACCCACTGTTATACCCCAAAAAGGAGAATATTGGTAGCTAATCAGCTCAACTGTGTCAGTCTCACTTTCAGTTTCTATTAAACTAAAGATGGCAAAACCTGATTTTCTATTGTTTTAAAGATTTAAAACAATTCTAAAGTGACAAATTAATTAGTTATAGCATCTGTCCCTTAACATATGACTATACGGAATTATAGATATTACTATTTCTGTGCATACAGTATAAGAGCTGCTTACTGAATAAAATAAGATTTCTTACAGAAAACTGTTCTTTTCTCCTGATGTGTGCAGAAAAAAAAAATATGATTTTTCAATTAACTATAGGATAGATGATCTGGAAAATATGCAGTATTCTCTCAAGGCATGTTATGAGTGTATTAACAGGAATTGTGCTGAAAGCTATTAAAAATCATATCTGGACATGACATTTTTAAAAGACATGTTTTTCTCATTCAGATTTACTCAACAGCCCTTGCAGCAGAATCCTTTGATTGGAGGAGGACTTGAGCAAGGGACCATCCAAGTTCCTCTCTCTAACCTTAGTTCAGTGCAGTTGCCTCAGGAGCACATGAGACAGAGACCCCAGCAAATTCGACAACAGAACCTTGCACAGGTAGACTTTACCAAAGGGAGTCGGTTAAAAGATTGAATATCAAAAATACTAGGCATTCTTCCAAGTAACATTTTGCTGGTCTGCCAATACAGAACACGTACTAGTAGCCCAGAAGTATCTCTAATTACGATCATTAGCTAGGTCCTATGAGTCACTTATGTTAACATGCCATCTGACACATTGTGTTCTACAGAAACATTTCTATATCTCATTGTGAAAGGACATTTAAAGTCATTTCCTGGTAGACTGGGTACAATAAATAAAGATTTCTTGTCATGTCAAAATGTACCTTTGGATCGCACTGGTCACTACTATTAGATATATTGTTTTTTAATTTTAATTGAACGTTTCAGCCATTTCTATTGAGAATAATGTATGACTTTAAGGGACAATACATAGTGGGTTTTACCACGATTCTTCTAATGCCATTTAATTTTTTTTTACATAAAATGTTTATTTTGAAAACAAAAACAAACACCTTTAAATTGATTTTTCCAGCATTGATCCCCCTCTAGTGATGTCACTTCCAATCTTTATTCTCTCGAAGCAACAATAGGAGAAGCCCAGTTTATGCATGCCTAAAATAAGGTTTTGTGGATTTTTTTTTAGCCATTATCATCTGAGGTTTTTTATTAATCTTTTTTACTGTTCATTCCGAAACATCATCCATGTGAGTTGAATACATTAGTTACTAAGTTATTTATTTAAATAAGTAAATAAATAAAATGTTACCATTTTTTTTAATTTTATTTTAAACATTGGATGCAGATCTAGCACATCCAAAGAGGACAAAACAAGAGAGATACATAAAAAAACAGTTAAATTAAGAGCACCAGTTCTAAATTGTAATGTATATGTTCATCATTTGCAAACATATTGAGGCAATACTTATGGTTACATGTACAGAGTCTGCTGGTATTTTTGTGGGTGTCATTAATTATAATACCAGTAGACTATAAATATTGAAACTGCATGTGTGACACATTGCATAATTCTGCTCTCTTATAACATTTCCATGTGAAGTTATAGTGTTACTCCAGCCTAGGATTCACTAATGTTTGCTTTGTTCTATAAGCATTAGTGAATCACTGGGGCTTACAGTAGCCTTTTTTATTATTATTTTTTT